TGGATTCCAGGGAGATGTTCTTATTCCTCCAAATTGGCTTTAGCTTTGCCACTGCTGCTGTTGTTTGCACAGTTCTTGCCCGAATTTCTGCTTTGGATCCTTCATCAGTGATGATTGCCCCCAAATACTTGAACTGTTTCACTGTCTCCATCTCCTGTCCACTGACAGTGATATGTGAGCTGATCGCATCACATTTGTTTGTCATCAGCTTGGTTTTCTCTGCACTGATTTCCATGCCATATTTTGTGGAGGTTTCATCCAATCATTTCACAAGGGTGGCAAGTTCATCTTTGCTGCCTGTCAGGCCATCAGTGAATCGAAGATTTGAGATTGTATACCCCCCAATGCTGACTGTGCATAAGTGATCTTCTAGAGAACTGCACTTCTGGCCTTGGCATACAGTTGTTTAATGGTAAGAATAAGCTTACGACCAGCATTGTACTTCTTCATGGTTGCCCAGAGACCTTCGTGCCATACTCTGTCAAATACCTTCTTGACGTCAACAAAGATGTGGTAGATGTCCTGCTGGTGTTGTAAGTACTTCTCACATAGAACACAAAGGTTGAAAATCTGTTCTGTGGTATTTCTTCCAGCACGAAATCCAACCTGTTCTTCAGCGACGATATTCTCTCCTTGTGTTTTCAATTAGTTCAATATGACTTTCAACATCACTTTGCTGGGATGGCTAATTAAACTTATAGTCCGGTAATTTTGACACAATTCAAAGTTACCTTTCTTTGGCAGAGTGATGATTAGTGACTGTGTCCATGTGGAGGGCCACTCAACGGTCTCCCAGATCTTGTTGCAGATCTTGGTGAGTACATCTATTACTATTTCTCCTCCAAATTTCATCAATCCGGCTGGGATGTTGTCAATACCTGTAGCCTTTCTGTTCTTGAGTGATTTCACAGCTGTCTCCACTTCTTCATATAGTATTGGAAAATCATCCTCCTCTGTTGAATCTGGGCTGTCTAAGACACTAGGATCTCCATTTGTCTAGTGGTTGTATAAATCAGAGCAGTAGTGTCCACCTATTGATGATGTCCCTTTCTTCTGTAAGACTGTTCCCTTCTTTGTCTTGAATTGCATTAGCTTTGATCCGTTAGCTCTGCAGGGGGTTGCGAATGCTGCTAGTGCTGCTGTTCTTGGAGCTACAGTGTTCGCTGCAGGAACAGAGAGCTGAACTTGCTGATCCAGCAGACCTCAATGTCGCTCACTAAGAAAGACCACAGGCTTGGTTCCTTGGAAAGGAGCTAGGCCAGGTGTATTGTTGACAATGCACGGTACTAGTGCCCCAGCTCAATGGTTAAAGGTGTACTAACATATGTATGCTTGCAACAATGTTATCAGCTGACGCAGCACATCAGGATGTTGTCCCCTAGACTAGCCCAAAGATGCCCCTCCTATGACCTCTCCTTTTATACATTGATACAAAAAAGTTATGTATGACACTCCAGACGTTATTAGTTACCACCCCTATCCTTGTTCCTGTTAGTTCGAATAAAACATCCTTATCCATTATCCTTTCATCCCCACACCCTCTTATCTTTACACAGGATCAGGGTGTTCTGATACCATCTGGTACCATTTCTTAAGAATGTGTTTACATAGTAACTTGAGAGATCTGTGTGGTTTTGTACCATCATTTCTGGTCAGAAATGTGCTTATTTGGTTAGTGTTTTACTTTTCTACCAATGCCAGGCCTACTCTGGTTCCCAGCCTTTGGTTCACACTGTTAGTTATGCTTACAGCTCCAGCAAGGCCTACACTCTGCTCTCTCAGCTCTCAAGCTCAAAACTGAAACTAAACCTAATCTCTTTGTTTCTACATTCACTTTTTCCACTTCATTCATGACTCTATAGACTTCTATCATATCCCCCCTTAGTCATTCCTTATATAAGCTGAACAGTCCCAGTCTTTTTAATGTCTCCTCATATACAAGTTGTTCAATAACCCTAATAATTTTGATGCCCTCCTCTGTACCTTTTCGAATTCTAATATATGGTTTTTGAGATGAGGTGACCAGAACTACACAAAATATTCAATATGTTGGCGTATCATGGATTTATACTGTGGCATTATGATATTTTCTGTCTTAATATCTATCCCTTTCCTAATGGTTCCAACATTCTGTTAGCCTTTTTGACTGCAGTTGTGCATTGAGTGGATGTTTTCAGAGATTTATCCACAATGACTCTGAGATATCTTTCTTGAGTGGTAACAACTAATCCAGACCCCGCTACTTTGTAGGTATTGTTGGGATTATTTTTTCCAGTGTGCATTACTTTGCAATTATGAACACAGAATTTCATCTTCCATTTTGTTGCAGGTTACTATGATATGTATGATACTGGTCAGGTGGTCAGTAAAATATTCCTACTGTTACACTCTTATTGTTCAAGCATGGAAATTCTATCCATAGAGATTCTATGGTGCAGTTTGATATATTTAAGATTTTTACTTTATTTGACTCAGCTTTCTTTCTCATATAGTGCCACTCCCCCACCAGCATGACCTTAGTTTAAAAAAATCCTCTACCAACTTTTTAATTTTCCATGTCAGCAGTCTGGTTCCAGGTTGGTTTAGTTGGAGCCCTTTTTTTCCTGTATTGGCTCCTCTTTTCCCAAAAGGTTCCCCATTTCCTAATAAACCTAAATCCCTCCTTCGAACACCATTGTCTAAACCACAAATTGAGCCCCTGCGGTTCTGCTGGTCTTTATGGCCCTGCATGTGGAACTGGAAACATTTCATAGAATGCTACCATGGAGACCACAATCTCCTCCCAGAGCAGAGAATGGAACCCAACATTCTTCATTTCCAGTTCTTTGTTCTAACCACTCAAACCTCCACTGGATTCTAGAAGTCCTAACTCCTGTCATGCTACTATAACGACTAAGTCCTGCTCCTATTCTGGAAGTGGAGACAGAACTCTGGGCTCCATACTGCCAGCCAGCTCCCCTCCCTTTTATACCCACTGGACCCCACTCCCCGCTCAGAGCTCAGCATAGACACGAGAGGCGAGAGTCACAAAATGTCTTTGGTGCCTAACTAACACTCTCACAAAACCCCCTCTCGGCTGCCCCCAAGCCCTGTAGGTACCTACAGTCACTCTGTGCCTAAATTCATGCAATTAAATCTCTCTATGTTTGTGCCTGTGGATGTACACTGGTGATCCCCTTTCAGATACAGACACCTAGGCCCCAGAGTGATGCACAAACTGAGGGGAAGACAGGCATTCCTCTGCCTAGCTCACCTGCAGGGCCCAATCCAGTAAGTGTGCTCAAAGGAGGAAGCCCTCCTTTAATAGTGAAAAATACTGTCCCAACTTCTTATAGATCAGCTGGGGAGGAGTCACTTGGGGAGGTCACATGGGGAGGTCACATGTCCTTCCCTTTAACTGGTGCCCCCCCAGTATGCTCCCTCACCAGTTGCCCACATGTGACACCTGGGATGTTGGACACCCCCAGTTCAAGTGTCCCATTTGTCTGAAGGGGAGAAAAGATTTGAATGGGGTGTTGCTACCTCTCAAGTGAGTACCTAAATCACTGAGCTATGGGATATTTTGATATGGGGTATCCGCAGTCACTTCTGTTGAAGCTTTTCCACTGTGACCAAAGAGAGAGGGAGCAAGCAAAGGAGCAATGCTGTAGCCTGGTTGTCACAGCACTCACTGGGAGGTGGGAGACCCTGCTCCAGTGACTTAATTTTTTTTTAAAGTATGTATTCACAGTGGAACAGCAACACAACATCACTGCCTTCAGATGTCTGCTCAAAACTGCTTAAAGTTACAACTTGGTACCTAACTAATGCAACTCTTTTGAGCCTCCATAGCAAGTGCTTCTCATTCCTGGGGAGCCCATCACAAGGACAATCACTGCTACAGAGTGAACTAGATTGCTTGATAAACTGGTTGCAAGCAAACAATGTACATTTTCATACAGCTAAATGTGAATGTATACATCTGGGAATAAAGAATGTAGGCCATACTTGCAAGAGGAGGGACTCTATCCTGGGAAGCAGCAACTCTGCAAAAGATTTAGGGGTAATGGTGGATAATAAACTGAACATGAGCTCCCAGTGTGAAGCTGAGGCCAAAAACAGCTAATGGGATCATGGGTTGGATAAACAGGGTAGCCTTGAGAAGGAGTGGAGAGGATATTTTACCTTTGTATTTGGCACTTGTGAGGCCACTGCTGGAATACTGTGTCCAGTCCTGTTGCCCACAATTCAAGAAGAAGGTTGATAAATTGGAGAAGGGTCAGAGAAGAGTCATGAGAATGATTAAAGGATTAGAAAACCTGCCTTATAGTGATAGACTCAAGGAGCTCAATCTATTTAGCTTAACAAAGTGATGAAATGACCACAGTCTATAAGCACCTACAATAGGAACAGACATTTAATAATGAAATCTTCAGTCTATCAGAGAAAGGCATAACATAGTCCAATGGCTGGAAATTGAAGCTAGACAAATTCAGACTGGAAATAACTCATACATTTTTAATGGTGAGAGTGATTAATCACTGGAACAATTTATCAAGGGTCCTGGTAGATTCTCCATCACTGACAATTTTTAAATCAAGATTGCATGTTTTTCTTATGCTCTAGGAATTATTTGGGGGACAGTTCTCTGGCCTGTGCTATGCAGAATGTCAGACTAAATGATCACAATGGTCACTTTAGGCCATAGAATCTATGAATGGCATAATAAAGGAAAAGAGAGCGAGTAAGAAAAAAAGATAAAGAGAGAGATCCTGCATCTGTCACCTTTCCACAATGGTAACTTCATTTAAAAACTTTAAAAGCATTAATATTATATTACATTTACTTTATTAATTATTATTGTTATTATACTAACTTCTCCATATCTAAATACAGTGAAGGATGGATGCCAGGAACCAGAATGCTGTTGCCGAATTCATCCTCTTAGGTTCAATATCCTACGAAGATGACAGGCCTTTCTTTTCTTTACATTCTTACTCTTTGCTTATGCTTTAACCATAATGGCCAATGCCACCATCATCGCCACGGTGTGGAAGGACAGACACCTTCACACACCCATGTTCTTCTTCCTTAGCAACTTCTCTTTCATGGAGATCTGGTACATCATGGTCACCATGTCCAAGATGCTGTTCAGCCTCATGGTGGAGAGGACCACCATCTCTGTGTCAGGCTGCATAATCCAATTCAATCTCTCTTCTGCTTGGGAATCACTGAGAGCATGCTCCTGGATGTGAAGGTTTATGGTCGCTACATTGCCATCTGCTAAGAACTGCGCTCCAGCAAACTGATGAACAAAAAGGTCTGCACCCAGCTGGCTGTGTGATTTCATTGGCCATTTGCCCCTCACCATCTCTACCACTCAGTTCTTATTCTGTGGCCCCAACAAGATCAATCAGTTCTTCTGCGACCTGGCACCAGTGCTGAACCTCTCATGCACAGACACCTCAGTCAGCGAGATGATATTCTTCACCTTTGCCTGGGTCATCATCTTCTGCTCCTTCCTGCTCACTATGGTGTCCATCATCTTCACCATCTGCATGATGTCCTCCACCACTGGCAGACAACGGGCCTTTTCCACCTGTGCCTCCCACCTCACAATGGTGATCATCTTCTACAGCACTGTCACCTTCATGTACATCTGTCCCATGGCATGCTACACTTTCCTGGCAGAAAAGGTGGTCTCTATCTTCTACTGTGTAGTCACCCCACTCCTCAACCCTGTCATCTACAACCCAAGGAACAAGAAAGTGAAGGAGGTGCTGGGGAGGGTGCTGTGCAGCAGAAGAAGGCTGAATTGGAAGATGGTTGGATTCATTAACTGGGATAGTTCAGAGAAAAGGAGGGGGATTCTCGATGGCTTCAATGTGAGCCTCTCCTAACCACCAAGGGCAATGGTTTAAACGATGATGGTAGCTACTGGTCAGAAATTGATACTCACATTGGTGGAACCATGGTTCTATTCTCATTTCTGCATTGCATTTAACAAAAGAAATAAATGGGGCATCCTGAATCCTGCGACCTATTCCCAGTACTGGAAGAGGAGTGGGGTCTAGTGGGTAAGGGATGGGAATTAGCACTTCTTGGCTCTATTTTGAGCTATGGGAGAGGAGTATGCCATATTAGCAGAGGCTTAGATTCAGGATTCATGAAGTCTATTATTTGCTCTGCTCCTGACCCCCGGTGTCACATGAGGCAAGGTAACAGGCCTGACCCATCATTGTGAAGCACATTCTTTGGAAGAAAGGAATTATGTTAAGTGGTTTATTGGCTGAGCAAAGTGAGGCCCTAAACTCAAACTGATGGTCTTTCTGTTTGTCTCTCTGCAATATGATTGTTTGTATGCCACATCTGATCAGTTCCAGGTTTGCATGGATTGTTCCAGGCAATAATCATAGAATCATAGAATATCAGGGTTGGAAGGGACCTCAGGAGGTCATCTAGTCCAACCCCCTGCTCAAAGCAGGACCAATTCCCAACTAAATCATCCCAGCCAGGGCTTTGTCAAGCTGGGCCTTAAAAACCTCCAAAGAAGGAGACTCCACCACCTCCCTAGGTAACACATTCCAGTGCTTCACCACCCTCCTAGTGAAATAGTGTTTCCTAATATCCAACCTAGACCTCCCCCACTGCAACTTGAGACCATTGCTCCTTGTTCTGTCATCTGCCACCACTGAGAACAGCCGAGCTCCATCCTCTTTGGAACCCCCCCCCCCCCAGGTAGTTGAAAGCAGCTATCAAATCCCCCCTCATTCTTCTCGTCTGGAGACTAAACAATCCCAGTTCCCTCAGCCTCTCCTCATATGTCATGAGCTCCAGACCCCTAATCATTTTTTTTGCCCTCCTCTGGACTCTTTCCAATTTTTCCACATCCTTCTTGTAGTGTGGGGCCCAAAACTGGACACAGTATTCCAGATGAGGTCTCACCAATGTCGAATAAAGGGGAACGATCACGTTCCTCAATCTGCTGGCAATGCCCCTACTTATACAGCCCAAAATGCCGTTAGCCTTCTTGGCAACAAGAGCACACTGTTGACTCATATCCAGCTTCTCGTCCACTGTGACCCCTAGGTCCTTTTATGCAGAACTGCTACCCAGCCATTCGGTCCCTAGTCTGTAGCAGTGCATGGGATTCTTCCGTCCTAAGTGCAGGACTCTGCACTTATCCTTGTTGAACCTCATCAGGTTTTTTTGGCCCAATCCTCTAATTTGTCTAGGTCCCTCTGTATCCGATCCCTACCCTCTAGTGTATCTACCACGCCTCCCAGTTTAGTGTCATCTGGAAACTTGCTGAGAGTGCAGTCCACACCATCCTCCAGATCATTAATAAAGATATTAAACAAAACCTGCCCCAGGACCGACCCTTGGGGCACTCCGCATGAAACCAGCTGCCAACTAAACATGGAGCCATTGATCACTACCCATTGAGCCCGACAATCTAGCCAGCTTTCTATCCACCTTACAGTCCATTCATCCAGCCCGTACTTCTTTAATTTGGCGGCAAGAATACTGTGGGAGATCGTATCAAAAGCTTTGCTAAAGTCAAGGAATAACACATCCACTGCTTTCCTCTCATCCACAGAGCCAGTTATCTCATCATAGAAGACAATTAGGTTAGTCAGGAACGACTTGCCCTTGGTGAATCCATGCTGACTGTTCCTGATCACTTTCCTCTCCTCTAAGTGCTTCAGAATTGATTCCTTGAGGACCTGTTCCATGATTTTTCCAGGGACTGAGGTGAGGCTGACTGGCCTGTAGTTCCCCGGATCCTCCTTCTTCCCTTTTTTAAAGATGGGCACTACATTAGCCTTTTTCCAGTGATCCGGGACCTCCCCTGATCGCCATGAGTTTTCAAAAATAATGGCTAGTGGCTCTGCAATCTCATCCGCCAACTCCTTTAGCACCCTCGGATGCAGCTCATCCGGCCCCATGGACTTGTGCACGTCTAGTTTTTCTAAATAGTCCCGAACTACTTCTTTCTCCACAAAGGGCTGGTCACCTTCTCCCCATACTGCGCTGCTCAGTGGAGTAGCTGGGGGCTGACCTCAGTCTGGGGGCTGACCTCGTTCATGAAGACAGAGGCAAAAAAATCATTGAGTACATTAGCTTTTTCCACATCCTCGGTCACTAGGTTGCCTCCCTCATTCAGTAAGGGGCCCACACTCCTTGACTTTCTTCTTGTTGCTAACATACCTGAAGAAACCCTTCTTGTTACTCTTAACATCTCTTGCTAGCTGCAACTCCAAGTGAGATTTGGCCTTCCTGATTTCACTCCTGCATGCCTGAGCAATATTTTTATACTCCTCCCTGGTCATTTGTCCAATCTTCCACTTCTTGTAAGCTTCTTTTTTGTGTTTAAGGTCAGCAAGGATTTCACTGTTTAGCCAAGCTGGTCGCCTGCCATATTTACTATTCTTTCTACATATCGGGATGGTTTGTTCCTGCAACCGCAATAAGGATTCTTTAAAATACAGCCAGCTCTCCTGGACCACTTTGCCCTTCATGTTATTCTCCCAGGGGATCCTGCCTATCTGTTCCCTGAGGGAGTCAAAGTCTGCTTTTCTGAAGTCCGGGGTCCGTATTCTACTGCTCTCCTTTCTTCCTTGTGTCAGGATCCTGAACTCGACCATCTC